GGTTGTGGATCTGGCTGACCTCAGGCTCCTCTCACACTCCCTTGCACATGACATGGCTCTTCCTATGAATGCTGCTCCTTACTATCACAGCCACAAGTTTCTGAAAAAAATACCTGTACAGAAGAAAGATTTTTCAATGAAAAATATAATAAAAAATTCCCGTACTGACCTGCAGTCTACTAACAGTCATCTAAAATTCTCAGAGGTCTGAGACAAGACCTTATTGGTTACCATAAAACATACATAGCCTGCCTGTCTCAAAAACGACCCTTTCAGAGAAAAAAGAATCCCCAAAATACCAGGTAAGTGTCCTCCAAATCAGATTAGGTCCACAACTGAGTAACTTGACATTTAGCACTTGCTCTAATAGGTAAATCTAAATATTGACTTACCAAAAAGAAAAAAAATCCCTTCCTTCTGAATGAATAATCATCTGTACAGAGTTAACTGTCCACTGTTAGAACATCACAGGAAGAGGTCTGCTAGTCAGCTCATTCTGAGACATTAGTTTGAACTCTGCCTAGTTTTTACGGAGTTCTTCCTCTCCAGATGTTTTAGGACCTAAATTAACCTGTAATATTAACTTCCCCAAAGTACAGTAACAAAGAAGGGAAGAAAAAAAGGGCATTCACTATGCCAGGTACTTCACATATAATACATACAAACACACATTATAAAGACAGGGTTATTTTTCTCACTTTATATACCTGTACCAAGGCTCAGAGAGATCAACTTTCTCAACACAAAGCAGGTAAAGTGGCAGAGCTGATCCCAATTCAAATGAACAGAAATGCTGCCCCTTAATGCCAGAGTGTAAGAGTGGTGCAGAGCTTCCCACCACATTAGAATCACCTAAAATGTATGCTACTGGAATTGGGGTGGGGCAGATGGGGGCTTCTACAACTGCATCAGCTGGGATCCTTCAATGTTACTGAGAACCCATAAGGACTAAGGATACAGGTCAGACCCTGATGATAAAAACTAGCTAGTTCAGAGCCCTGGGCTCAGTGTAATTTACTGTTTTTTTCCTCTGTAAGAGGAAAACGACAAATTGACATTTTTGCAAAATGCAAAATAAAAAGAGGTGGTAGAGTTGTTTCCAGGTCCTTGCAAAAGGAAACAGTCTGCCAAGCTAGTACTACTATTACCAATCAATAGCAGAAGGGACTTACGATGTGCTAAAGTGCCCATGTGCAATCCAGAGTAATCCTCACAGCCACTAGGTACATTCCATCCCACAGATGAGGAAATTAAGGCTTGAAGACAAAGGACTCACTAAAGCTCATGTAGCTAGCTTGGTCAGAACAAGCCAAGCAATGTGTAAGAGAGAGGCAAGAACTTGACCTGGATCTTGTCATGATCCTGGACTCTCTTGTTTATGGAACTGCCAACTTGGAATTGATTATTTTTAGTTCTCCTGCAAATGAGACCCAATTGGAGAGAGATAAGAGCTTCCCACTCTTACTACCTAGAGATGTAGACAAAAATGTGAAGGCCGGGGACTTAGCTCAGCGGCTCGGTGGCCTGCCTTGCAAGTGCAAGGACCCAAGTTCAATCCCCGGTACCAAAAAAAAAAAAAAAAA